GACTTTAATACCTCGGTGAAGTCCAGAACTGTTACTATCCCCAACCGTTTGCACTCACTTGATACTGAAATGCAGAATAAATTCCCTGTGAACGCGCTTGGCTGTGGTGTGATCAGCTTCATTGTTTTCTTTCTAAAAGCAGGGCATGAAAGATGCTTATCATCAACAACAGAAGAAAAAAATCCTGATACGAGCACATGTGCCCACACAAGTGCCCACACATGCACACATGTACGTAGACACAGGCATGCACGTATGTACACACAATTATGCACATGTGTACCCAACAGCCGTACGTGCCCACACAAACATACACACACCGGCACACAACCACCCACATACACCCTGGAAGAAGCCATTCACACTTCGCCACCATAGAGTACATGTCAGTCCATCTGGGATCATTAACACTATGTTAATGAATACAGGGCTGGGGCCAGAAGCAAGTGAGGAGAGGAGAGAGGAAAAGAGACAGAAACAGACAGAAAGAGACACAGAGAGATAAAGAGGACAGAGGGTGGGAGGATGAATGAGGATAATAGATTTGCTCCAAACCAATGCACAGCTTAAGGTAGTTGAAATTGAAAAAAAAAAACCACACACACACACACACACACACACACACACACACACACACACACACACAATGAGATAGGAAAAGAAAATTATTCAAGGAGGCAACGAGCATGAAGAAAACTGGACAACATCAAGACAGGCGGGGAGAAAGAACTGTGAAAAAGGGAGAAAAGTGCATAAAAGATGGGAAGGGAAAAGGGCGATGTTTAAAAGCCACACAGTGTGAAAGACAAGAGAAAGGCAAAGTATCAAGCAGAGTTGCACTCGGTACGTTCTGGCCAGGGGCTGATGAGGGCTCCGTGGAAATAACTGAACAGATGAACAGAAGAAAGGAAAGGAAGGAAAGACAGCAGAGACAACAGATGAGCCGAGAGAACAGGCAGCGAGACAGACAAGGAGATACAGTATAACAAATGATGGCAGAGGCAATGTGAGCTGAGTAGCGTGGTTAAATATTTCACTGGGGCTTATTTGTGCTTTTGTGTGCTGCTGTGTTTGTGTGTGCGTGGCCATGTGTGCGAGAGTCCCTGGGAGACAGAAAGGAGGACAGAGAGGCAGTGAGAGAGCGAATGAGGGAAGTGTGCCTGTTGACTGGGCAAGTTAATGATTCCTGTGGTCTGAATAGTGAGACAGTGTTAGTCCAGGAGGGAGGGAGGAGGCTCATTTACCCCCTACTGACACACAGAAACACACATATAACATTGTTTCAGTGTGTGTGTGTCCATGGCTTGTTTTGATACCCTGTCAGCTTATGTGCAGCACGTTTGAAACAGCTCAGCATCCATGGCTGTTTTCCAGAGTGGTCCGAGCAGAAACGTGTTGCAAATCCGAGTTGTTTCTGCTGCTAATGTCTCGGTGTGTGATACCACAAGAATTAGTATCCCCCCCTCCCTGCTCCGGGGCTAAATCTAGACACATGGAGATCTGCAAAGCAGAAGCGTGCTTCTCAGTGGGTGAATAGAGGACCACCTGTATGCAGATGAATGGGTTTGAATGAGCGCCAGGAGACGTGCCTTTGTGGTGCCAGAGAAGGAGCAGCTTGTCGAAGTGTGCCGCTATGAGCCAGAGGGCCAAGGGTCCGCAGGAGGCCGGGGATAAAGGGACAGAGGGCAGCAGGGTGACGAGCTGTCCATGTGTAGATGAAACAATGGCAAGTGTTAACAAGCCTAAGCTAACGGTAATGATAGAGGTTGGGGGAACAAAAGGCAGCTCTTTGAAATACAATCTGTGATCAACTAGAGTCAATACACAAAATACACTGATTTAGCTCCTTTAAGCCCCTTTATACCCCTTTATTATAGCATAATGTTAATCTTCCATGTGACCTTTTTTCCATTGCTAGCTAAGGCTCTTTTTTGTGAGGAAGGTTAAGCAACATTAATGGTACACTAGCAGCAGAGGCTCGAGGGCAGACGAGCGATGGTGTGATAACATCGGGACAAAAAAGACGACGGACATGTGATCAAAAGGATAACATCTCGCTTCTGCTAATGCACCAACGAGAGAGATAAAACCAGGGATCAGAGAACTTCTACACATCTTTAAACTCCACAATAAAAACCTGTGCCATTGTGTTTGGACAGATGTGTTGATACTCTATTAAACAACAGCTGCTAAGATTGGTCTCCACCATCCCCGTTTTGGTTTTTGTTGCACTCCAGTGCGGCTCACGCCCAGTGTTTCCATGCCTCTTTTAAACTGTAACACCTCTTTGTTGTTCTTTCAAAGTTTCACTCCACCTCATTCCAATTTATCCTTGCCTCCCTGTTAAACACTCCTTCACATTTGTGTGTGTGTGTCTCTAAAGAAACCTCTTCAAATCTTTAAACACAGATCCCTGGCCAGCTCTGATCCCCACCTGGGGGCTGACAGGATGAGAGCAGAGAGGAAGGAGTAGAAGAAAGAAGCAAGACTGAAAATTTAATATTTTTTTCCTTTTTTAAAACATAGCTGCCTCCCACATATTCTTCACTCCTCCAATCAAAACATTTATTCTGTCTGGACCGAAACTTCTCTTGTAGCTCTGACACCATATGTTTTGGTTTTATAGATTTGTTCCTTTACACAGCACTCTGCTGTGTGTTTATCTTCCGTAAAAATGATGATCACATTTTTGATGTGGTTGAAAGAGAGCGAAACTGAAAAAACAGGCATTGCCAGGTACAGGTAGCGCCACTAGCTTCCTGTCTTAATTGAACAGGTTATGCAATTGTAGGATTTCCACAGCGTGCTGAACAACATGTGACAGATACTTTGAGGCCTGGAGATAAGTCCTTGGAATATAAACAAGATGGTTTATGCTCCCTGAAAGGCTTGTATGGCTGTCAGGTCTTCCCCAACTTCCTTTAATCCACTTTTAGAACTGTCAAATTTTCCATCTTCTGAAAACTTTTTCAGTGAGCTGCTTTTTTCTCTCCTTTTCAGACATCTTCTTATTCTCTGCCTTTCTGTCATTCACAGGATCCCCGGTATTCCCTTTCTGTATGTGTGTGTATGTGTGTGCGTGCGTGCGGGCGCACTATGGGAGGATTAAGTCTCACTCTGAGAATCATGTATTGTTTCTACCGGCAACAACGCTGTCAAACCGGCCGCAGAGAATGCTTACATCTTTGTGTGTGCTTGTACACATGTATATATGATGCACGTGCATGATGGGAGATCCCAGCCATCTGACTGTTGGCTGCAGCAGCACAAAGGAGGTGCATGTGGGGGTTGTGAAATTCTGAATGTGGGTTTCTGTTTTATTGCAAGCTTGGTTGTGTGTTAGATGAACAGATCATCGGGAGACCCCGAGCATGAGTGCCGGAAGTGTGCTGGCAGTGACAAACAGTTCAACAGTCACTCCTGGTGCTGTGTATGAGAGAGAACTGGAGAGTCCTGTTGTTGGTAGTCTGAAAAGATCATAGACATATTTATCATCCCACAGAAGAAAAATATACACAAAAGACTGTGGAAATGTCTGGGTTTGCATTAGAACAAATTACCAAAAGGGTTGATTTTTGTTCAAACTGACCTCTTGTCCCAGTTTTCTTTTTCAATTCTTCATCGTCTTACTTTACTTTACCCTTATTTTGGGGGGAGGCATTATGGAAAAGCACCCTGAGCTATGATTAACCCCCACCGCCTGCAGGATATACAGTGTGTGTCTGTGTTTGTGATCCAGGACGTGTGTATGCCTGCCCAGCTAAGCCTAGGGACAGTCAGGCATATAAAACACACACACACGCACACACGCGCACACACGCGCGCACACACACACACACACACACGCACTGCCTCCTGCCTTTTCCCTGAAGTCTTGGGCCTCTGAAGCAGCTAACCCAGGCTGCGCTCCATGCCTGCTCGAGGGAAGCCCTCTCCTGCTGAGGCCACAATCCCGTCGACACCCCACGATCTGGACTTTATCCATTCCATCTGTGAGTTTGTTTTCTAAAGTTACCTGTCTAGGACCACAGCTATAAGCAGACACCACAAGATTAGACTTACTGATAAGATTGTAGTAATTCTTTACTATCTGACAAAACATGCCTAGACAGCAATACCCTTAAAGACCCCGTGCATCTTTCTGCAGAACATTCTCAAGCGATCAAAGTACAAGTAGTAAAACAATCAGATCCAAAATGATGTTTAATACACAATATTTAGTTCTTTTGTGTTGAAGCAACCTATGTGCATCTGTATGCTTACAGCTCAGTGAACAAGCTGGTTTACAGTGCATAATAACAAACCAGCAACTACAGACGTCACAAAGAGAAGCAACACTGCCTAAGAGTGACACATAGCAGTGTTACAAAAGAACAACAACTTAAAAAAACAAAACAACAGTTGCTGAAATCTGTATGAATCTCCTTTAAGTCTTGGATTAATTTTTAGTTATAGGAAATAAAAAATTATAGTACTTGTGATCTAGTAGTACTTTAAATGATTATTTCTACAACTACTTGTAAGAAGGAAATTTTGTCTGCTTTTCCCACTAAAGTTTCTGTAGAGCTGGTTACTAGTTATTTCTCCGATTACTGTTTCATATACCGGACAAACGTCTAGTTTAAGCATGATCGCGCGTTAATCCAAATCCATGGTTTTTTTGAAAACAAAATACTTAAAACAAATTAAAACGAGTGCTAAGATAGTATTGCTTATATGATAAGGTAGAGGTAATTATGATCTGCCAACACTTGAAACACCGTACTGTAGCGTTTTCTACCATATTTTCTTAAACAAAGCAAAAACAATTTTTATATTTACTTTCGTTTCTATAAAGTTATCAGTTTACTACGAGTAGGGCCGGGCTGTTGTTTTCGTGAGCAGCTGGAGAGCGCGTCTCCAGTGGGGCGGGGACTTCACTGGTGACACCACGACGGGGCGGAGCTTCTGCAATACAAAATAGAGTTGCGCTTCTGTGATACAGTCAAGACCTACAACAGCGTGTAGTGAGAAGCGTTACTTTGCACTACTTACTACACACAGCGCGTAAAATCCTCAGTTGGTTTCCATGCGCGCATTAACATCTTCCATAAGTGAAGTCCTTTAAACGTCAGTTACCGCTTTAAAGGTGTTCATTGTTCCTTTCGGAGAAGAGAAGCTATGGATGTGGTGTGTCTGCTGTGTTTGGTGCTGACCATCGGTTCTTGGTTTGCCTCCGCGGAAAGACACAGCGTCTACTGGAACAGCTCTAACGCAAAGTAAGTGCTGATCTGTGCTTTGGTGTAGTGTTATAGGGGATGTTCAGTGCAGCATGGGAAGCCAAGTGAGTGGTGTACTGGGTCAATCATACTGTCTGGTGTTTCCCAGTTTGTCCAGAGGGGAATGACGGTAACATCCTACTTTCTTAAGTTTGACACATGTAAAGTCTTATCCTACATACTCGCATCCGCGGACTTGCCATGCTTTCTTCATATGTCAATTAAAGATCTCTGTGACTTTATAGCCGTGGCTTTAGAGTGCTACAGCACCCAGCAGCAGATGGATGTAAAAGCAGAAGACTGTGAGCAAGTGCCTGGACAGATTCGTCACTATATTTAACCGCAACGCATAGACACAGACATACTCTAATAGTAAAAAATAGACCGACGAGTATGAACTTGGCCAGTGCTGTCTGCAGGGTTTGCACCTGTGTGCACTGTGCGTGTCATGGAAAGATGACTCTATTAAGCAATAAAAACGAGTTAATTCCCTAATATATTTACAAAGATACGGCATCAGGCAATTTAAAGAGGTTTTTCATTGGAGAGGAGAGATGGTGAGTCACACAGAGAGGGGCGCATATTGCTGATTAGTTTGTTTTGAGGTCAGAAATGTAATGGTATCCGACCACTCAGCGGGATCGATCGGGCCTGACATATCGCAGCGCGATTTATTGAGCTTTTAGCGTGGAGCGGGTGATCCCGACGTTTGAAAGACGGTATTATTTTAAAACCGAGCTGAAACAGAAGGACGCTCTGCGAGGTTCTGCTGCCGAGATAGGTCGATTAAAATCCACCACAGAGAAGAAACAAGGGCAAAAGCCATTATGGCTTTTTAGTCAGATTAGCTTACATTTCTAATTGCCCTTTAACATTGTTAATAGACGCGGGGCTAAAAAGAGCCCTGCAGCATGGAAAACAATTGTCCCGATAATTGGATAAGAAGTCTAATGGAAAAGTCCTGTCGTCACGAGGACTGTTAGTGTCATAAGTTAGTCCGTGTGTGAGTCAACAGACCAGGTTTGACCCACCTGAGTTATACACCTGAGTCACTACAAACCAGGGAGGGAGTCATGTTCAGGTGGGACAGGAGGTAAAGGTAACTTCACAGAAGGAAACTTGTAACCAGAGTCTTCCAGTCAGTTCCACATAAAGGACAGAAACTGGATCTCGGAGGCTTACTTCAAATAAGAAAGGCTGGAGGGGGAAAGGAGGCAGAGAGAGAGAGAGAGCAAGAGAGATTAGGGTGGTCTAATACAAAGTCAGATCTTATGTCTGCTGTTTTTAATCCAACTCTGCACTATTTTTGCTCCAGAAAGGGAGTTGCATAACTAGAAGAAAAATCACAATATAACACTAATCCCAAATGTGCCACATGGCTAAACATAGACTCTGACAAAGACAGACAAACGGGCAGAGATAAGCTTCATAGAACAGTTAATGGATCAGAGACACTTGTGGATATATTCTGCTTCTACTCTGGCACACTTTCGCTTGCTTATTGTCTGTCTCTAAAACACATTTTCACAGGGAGTGGAACTAAACCCCCATTCCACTTATTTTTATTTTTCTCATATTTTACAGTCTGATTTCTATTAGCCCCTCAGTCCATCATCCCCTCGGCTCTACATCACCATCCCCCAATTCACTCTCACTCCTCCTCCTTCTTCTCTTCGCTCTTCCATCGTCTCGCAGTCCTGTGATTTCCTGCCCGACTAAAAGCCCACCTGCCTACTACTGTCCCCAGTGATCTATCAGTCACCTGTTCAGAGGATTAAGTAGACCCATCAGCGACCTTTGGTGGAAGTGGGCCGTGGATAATTGATGCTAATTGATTCTTGGTAGGATTGTGAGCAGCAGTGATCTGTCTTAGGTGGAGGACAGTGACCAGATGGCAGTAGCCTGCCCACTCATATAGAGATATGAAGAAACCGGTAACACCTTAGGTGTGCGTGTTTGCCTCTTAATACAATCTGTATGTGTACTCATGTGTAAGCGTGACTTAATGATTATTGCTTAATCCTTCACTTCAAGTCTTTTTAGGGACTTGATCCAGTGTTTTTGTTTGTGTATCGTTTTCTTACACGACAGGTGGCAAGGCATGTTTTTCACAGTCTGGTCTGGTCTTGTTTTTACGCTACTTGTCTCTACCTGTGTCAGCTTTATTAGTGTGTGTGTGTGTGTGTGTGTGTGAGAGAGAGAGAGAGAGAAAGAGGGAGAGATTTAACTTCCTGGCTTTTAACAGGAAGCAATTATGTTTTTGTTGTGAACTGACAGTTCACGGATTGTTTCTGGGTCTTCGGAGTTCACGTGTCTCGGCGTCAGAGCAAAACAGGGAGTGACCGGTTACCGTAAGCAGCCTCACCGAGACGTGATAAATGTGTGACTCGCACTTCCACACACTGGGGGGCATAAGGGGGACGACTTCGCTGTTAATATTAGCCACAGCCAGCATTCCACCCCGCTGTTACTATACTCAACTCTGTCAGCTGTGCATGAGTGTGTGTCTGTGTGTTTCTCTGCCTTGTACCTGTCTGTTCCTCTTCTCCATCTTTCCACTCCTACTCCTCTCTTTTAACAGTTGGGTCTTCTCCCAGACTGGCCGCTAGCCTCAAGCCCTCCTTTTCTCTCTACTTACTGATTCAAGCACATTCGAGATCGCCTCATTTTTAAATCCAAATATGGACGATAGCGACACACTACTCCGCTGCATCCTTTTAATCTTTCATATCTGAGTTGTTTGGCTGCCTTCATCCATCTCCAGTGGCATGGGTTTGTGTCCCATGCCTCTGCTATCTGTGCAAATATCTTTATCAGGAGTTTGGTGTAATGTTATATTCTGTTTATCTCAGCCTGTGTCTGGCTCAGCCTGCCTTCACTGTTATTGATGCAGCCAGGCCTGCCTGTACATGTACACGTTGCCTGCAGTTTTAGGTGAACGGGGTCAATGTACTCCCACCTCCTTTTAAATCCCAACTATTACACACTTCGCCCCCCTCCTCTCATCACCCTTCTCCCTCTCTTTCGCTCTCTGTCGTGTCTGGTTGTTGGGCTGTAATCTCACCAGAATGGGAACACACACATACGCACACACTAACATCGAGTACAGACAGCTTGTAATCTGACCATCTGACCCAGAACACCCGACACAAAACCATCATCCTGGAATATTCATTCTATGTATATGCCCCTGGGATCCTGTGATGTAACGCTTCTCTGTTTTTCTGTTTTTGTGTGTGTGTGTGTGTGTGTGTGTGTGTGTGTGTGTGTGTGTGTGTGTGTGTGTGTGTGTGTGTGTGTGTGTGTGTGTGTGTGTGTGTGTGTGTGGATTAGTGGGTAATTGTTAGAATGTATTTAAATTACTTAAAACCTTTATTTGTCACATTGCATCATTCCCACAATAATCTCCCAGATGGGATCCATCAGAACAATCAATTTCCAGCAATATCTCAGTTTAGCTTTACATGATTCTTGCCCCATCGTTATCAGGAGGCTTTGTGCCTATTCCCTGCTGATATAACTGTCCTCTTACCTAATGTGCTTATAAATGTTCTCGCATATCTTCACACATGATAGCACCGAAGCACCTGGGGTGATTTAGTTACCATAGTTTACAACAACAGTATATATTGTTTCTTAGGTTTGTTTTCGGGCTTTTTTTTTGCATCACGTCTGCAGACTCATCTGTTTTACTCTCTGCTCTTCCTCTCTGCTCCTTATCTGTAGTCCAGATTTCCTTCCCCCCTCCCCTTTCTCTACCAGTCCCCCCTCGTCCTCACAGACCTTCCTCTGTTTTTGCCCCAGTAGTTTTCCATCAGAGGAGAACGAAGCACCTATCAGCTCCCGTTCTGCTAACATTAGAGAGGCCTGTTTTTGCCCGGTGTTATCGTCCTAAGCATGGGCAAGCACGCGTATGTGTACACTGCTCATTCATAGAATTTCAGACATACCGTGACCAGTGCTGCCCACTTGAAGCTCACTAGCGCCCCCCCTAAGGCTGACTCACCAGCAGATATACTTCAGCTCATGTTCTTGCAGATGGTTTATTTTGCATCAGTTAAAACTTATTTCATTTTTTTTTAATTAAAAAAAGTTAAATATTTGATGTAAATTCTTAGAAGTTAGTGAACTTGTGCCCTCTCTCCCTCAGCTAAACGGGCCAACAGATTAACTCTACATGACCTCCAGCATATTAAACCAAGCATGATACCATTTGGCCTCTTTCTATTCATCACAGACAGAATAGGAGGCTACCAAAAAGGAGGGGACCGGTGAAAAGAGAAAAAGGAGGCGGGAAAGAGGCCTGGGCGCAGGGTGAGAGAAGGGTGAAAGGGATTTGTGTTGAGAAATTAGCCTGGATGAAGAGCTCTGGTATATTATGTCAGCATTAAGAGACAGGACAAATAGAAGATGGAGGGTGGGGGTGGGGGCTAAATTTGCAAGAATAAAAGAGAGGCAGACGGAGGGAGGAGAGGCCGGACAGTGATGGATGAAGGGAGGGAAGAAGTTTAGAAGTGAATAAGTGAGAAAGGCCATTGTTGACAGTTTTAAAGGCTCTCATCCTGCAAAAGGATTGCTTCATATATGAACACACATTTCTTGAAACTGCTTAAAATGTAATCATTTTATCGACATCAGGTTGTATTTGCACATAGTGGGGAAAGAAATCCCCCGTGGTTTTTGTTTTTATTGTAATACAATGAGATATAGAAAGAAGGGAGTAGATTACACAGGAAGCTGCAGTAATATAGGAAGACTTTTCATTTTATATTAGATTGGCTCTAATGGAGCTGCCCACTAGTGAGCAGCTAAACCCATTAGAACCACTGACAGCTCCTCACGCCCGTGTGAAAGGAGGTGTGAATCTGTCATACCACAGCAAATTAATCGGGTATTAAGTGTACACCTCAAAGTAAAAGTGTGTAAGAGTGGGGCTGGAAATTTGATGAGCGCGCCTTGTGAGAACACTGTAAACTATCCGAACTGCAGCCCCCACCCCCCCTCGCCCCCTCTGCTGTGACATTCCTGTGTGTGTGTGTACACTTACTACTGATTACCTGAGGAGCAAATGGAAGAAGAGGGGGGAGTGGTGCGTGTGTTTGATGTTTCAGACGTGCAGACTCTCTTCGTGACTCTGTTTTTGTGTGTGTGAAACATATATCTTCGGTGCTGACTCGGATGCTAGTGCGGGTGAGAAGTGGCGACCCTGAACTGTAACCTTTTGACCTGGCTGCCAGTTTGCGACTTTCCCCAGACGGACAGTGAAAGACAGACTCCTTGTGTCAGTAGTTTGAGCGAGCCCAGAGCGAGCTCTGGGGGACAAATGGTGGGAAGGGCTGTAGAAGGGAGACAGGAAGGGGGGGGGGAGCCAACAGCAGAGCAAAGACAATTGCAAAACTTCAAAGCTTTAGTGACTAGAAGTGTTGCAAAAGTCACCTGCAGTAAGGAGCAGTAATAACTATTCTGTTTTGTACTTTCACGACACATGCACCGCAATCAGAGTAACTTTGTATTGAGGAATGACCTGCAGAAAAGGAAGACTAGAGCCACCTTCAACCTTTGCTGTTTACCCATACCTCAGTCTCATGCAGGAAAACGCGCACACACACAAACACACACACGCACAAGAGGCTCCAACAGACCTTGATAAACAGATGTGCTCATAAGCCCGGGGCATGAGACGCCCTGGATAAGGGGTCTTCAGAGAATCCCTCTCCCTTGAAAACACAGACACACAAAGCAATAGGCGGGAAGAAGAAGATGCAATGTGGAAAGTAGGTTTGCGACAGCTCACACACCTGGCTCTCCGTCTCATAGAGGACATAGTTATCACATTAACGCGACTCTCACTCTCCCGAGAACTGCCAGTCAGAGGCTAGTGTAGACGCGGGGAGATGCTAGAGTGCAGAGCTTTGATGAATGAAGACGTAAAGAGGGTGGTGGAGTTGAAGACGGAGCAAATTCAGTGGGCACGAATAGGTGGAGATTTAAAGAAAAAAAAAAAGAAGCATTAATTGAAATTAAAATAATACAGAAGTGTGAGAAGGTTTTATTAAACCACCAAAATCAGCCACTGGGACACACATTAGACACGTAAACAGCAGCCAGGGTAGTGAAAGCTCCATAGGGGTTAAGGTAGAAGGGGTTGAAGGGGCCGTGTAGCCTTCAGGCATTCTGTCTTTGGGGAGGGAAAGGGTATAATTACATCCCATTCATTCCTCCTCCCCTCCTTTTCAGGAGAACACATTGGCCCCAGACCCCTAACAGCTTTTAATTAGCCAGACCAATGGTGGCGAGGAGGAGGGGAAGTGAGGAGGTGAAGAGAAGAATAAAAGGAGAGTTTTCTTAAAAGCATGAGCCGTGAATGAAATTAGCAACAAAATCTATCTGTTTTGTTGGCTTTTGACAAGCCCGTTTTCACATGGAGGTCGGCCAGACCGCTAACAAGGACACACTGTGGGGAAAAAGGTGTATCCTATACAATTTAAAACTACTCATTACTTCAGAGGAAACCACTAGAGACCTCCAAATGTCTTGTTTTACCCAACCCTGTTATTACTGGTTTGACTGAAGAAAACAGTAGAGAGGAGCAACATGAGAGGCACGGCTTATTTGGCTAATTAGGCTGCTACAGATGTGTCTTTTCATTTCAGTAAAGCACTTGCCCTTGTAGACCCAAGACACACACACAGTCGCAGATAAACACACAAACAAAGGCGTACACACCTGCACAGAAGTGTACACACTTACAAAGGGCCTTTTCAGAGAGAAAGCTCAGGGTAGTGATCAGCTTATTAGCCCTGGAAAACAAGTATAGAGCTGTGCTCAGCTAACAAAGCGTGTTTTGACAGGTAGGTCAGCACTAACCCATACACACACGCACACAATGCACACAAACAGTTACACACACACAGAGGCAGGAAGAAGGGGTTAGAGGCCCTCATTTTGGAGCCAGGGTGTCTGTGACTTGGTCAGGGGTGTCCTGACGGGAGCCACAACAACGGGAGGGGAAGAAGGGGGAGGGTCTCAGAGGCACCGCGTCTCGCTTTGATGACAGGACACGCACATAAACAGGGGTTGTTTTCTTGTCACTCTCACTCCGCGCAACATGTGAGACGCAAGCGTCCACAAGCAGTTGCTCATAAGCACAGATTGAATTTGCGGATTAGAGCTTTTATCCCTGAGGATGTCATGGAAGTAATGTGCAAATATCAGTCTTTCTTCACCTCCTGGTTGATGGCGAGATTTGTGCACAGGCCAGCTGCACTTCGCACGCATGATGAAACTGAAAGGTTGGAGTTCATTAAAATCTCTTTCCCCTTTGCGCCGATAAATCTGGTCCTAATGGATTAGTAGCTTATTTTTTAACAAATAGTAAGAGTTTTACTACAGTGAAGCTTTTTTTTTTTTTTTCCCTATATCCTCGCTGAACATCGTCACCACTTAATGTGCAGTGAGACTTTACAGGAAATATACTTATTTTTCTACCGCCTCTCCATACTTCATTAGGACTCCCGGGGCGAAACAAGCATAGGAAGTGAGCACAAAAAGGAGCCGGGGAGGCTTAAAAGAAGCCACAAAACTAAATGAAGGGTAAAGATGAAAAGGGAAAGAAAAATAGTGAGATAGTCTGGCTCCCCACCTAGTCTCTCTGTGTCTTTGAGGAAATCAGAGAAAAAGAAGATAGAGATAGAGGCGGCAAATTAGCCAGAAAAGTCACGGCAGGAGCTCCGCCACAGATGGACAAACATTCAGGTGAAGAAATTAATGAGACAGAAACCAGAGAAGAGCTTAAAAACGCTTGACAGAAAGACTCAGTGAGCTGTACCGAGAGGAAAGTGGACCGAAAGAGAAAGTGGGAAGAAAAAACTCCCCAAAAGATTGTTGGAGCTGAGCTGTCATGTGTAATTTAGTTTCAAGCAAGTGCATCTCACCCAAAGGGAAGAGAGAGAAAGAGAAGGTGTGCGAGTGTGTGGGATGGTGGGATGGGCTGTGTACGATTCTGGGTGTGTTTTCTCGCCCCAAAACAAATTGAACAAGTCCAGCCTGATCAGCCTCTTTCTAATTCTGTTGCTCAGACAGGTTTGCACAAGCACACAGAAAAACACATCCTCACACGGCATCACCCAGCTTTACCTGTCTGTTTATTTGTGTTATTCATGTCTCTAAGACTCTTTTCAGTTGCCGCACGTGTCTGTGTTTAACTAGTCCTCATCAATATCCAGAACACATCCAGCGTATTATCTGCTCTGCTAGGTGTGTGTCGAAAACAACAGATGAGATCCGCCTCTGTTACTCATTTTGGAAAACTGGGTGAGGACATTTGTCAGTAACCTCGTGTCTCTTTCTGTCTCCCCTGTAGCTTTCAGTGGAATGAGTATACGGTGGAAGTGCGCATCAATGACTATCTGGACATCATCTGCCCTCACTACACCCACGACGAGGTGCCGTCGCATGCAGCTGAGCGTTACGTGCTGTACATGGTGGAGAGAGAGGACTACGAGGTGTGCAAGCCTCACTCCTTCGATCAGCTCCGCTGGGAGTGCTCGCGGCCCTTCGCTCCTCATGCTCCCGAAAAATTCTCGGAGAAGTTTCAACGCTTCACCCCCTTCACCCTGGGAAAGGAGTTCCGTCAGGGAGAGAGCTATTATTATATCTGTAAGTATCTTTAATGATATTTCTGCTCAGTCTTCTGTGGTTAGAGGAAGGTTCCTTGTGTTAAACTTTTCCCTCTGTCTCACTTTGTCAGCAAAGCCAATGCATCACCATGGGAAAGACTGTCTGCGGCTGAGAGTGGATGTAGTTGGACATAAAGGCTCTGGAAAGAATCACTATGACAAATCCAAAGCACGTGAAACAGAAAAAATCTTGGGAGGAGAAAAAGTGAATTTCCCTGCTACAGGAGGAGTTCACAACCCCTCTAACCATCTCCCAGCAGGTGAGCATTCTTTAAAAAATAGATTCCAGACATAGAAAATAATCACAGCGGTGCTGTGACTAAGACCAGCTCAGCTGGGTGTGTTTACCATCCCTGAGTGATGAAATCCTGTCCTAACGGTCCTTCCCATCTCTTCTCTCAGATGACCCTGCTGCGATGGAGCCAAATGTCCAGAGGAGTGTCGGCAACTCTGCAGCACAGCTGATCTCTCGTTCACTTCTTTTTGCCCTGATCCCAGTCTTATTAGCCCTGATGCTACACTAAAGGCAGTGAAAGCTCCACAACAGAGACATTACTAACCCGATGCTGGTCACCGGGACGTGAACGATCAGAGATTCTTTTTATACAGACTTTTTTTATACGAGCATGGATAGTGTGTGTTGTTCAGCGTGCGCTTGATGTGGTTTTTGTGTGTGTGAATGTGGAGCGTGGATCGCTCCAAAATAAAAAAAGAGGACCTCAGAGACTTTTTTTTTTTTTACTTTATTTTGAGGATTGAAATTCTCACTTATGACCATTTAAGCTGAACGTTTTTGTTTTTTCATTATGAACGAAGTCGCAAACAGAACGATCCAAATGCTTTGTTATAAATCGACGGCAGCAAGATTACATTATCCTCACTGTCACGTGTCAACACATTTTCATAGCACTGGTACAGCTGTGCGTTTCATTAGTGAACTCTCTTTTTCTTCCTCTACATGTAGAGAAACTATTGATATTGTGTATTGTTGTCGGCAGCTGCCACAATATGTAGGATAATGTAGGATATTTGCCATGTTGTGTTGCACTCAACTCCTCGTTATAATGCTCCACATTTCTAAAGTTATCTGACATGTTATCAGTGGTAACGCAACCTGAGAAAACAGATGCTCTAACGGTGCAGCAGTGGTTCTCGCCCCGATTTCTGGCTTTTAGTGATGTCTATTGGTGCTCATGCTGATGAAATCTTTTCATGTAACCACGATTAAAAATGTATTCCAAGAACCTAAAGATATGCATATACTAAAAAAAAAAGATGCAGTGATATTTATGTTTTTGTTAAGTCCTCATCTGTCAATTACACGGTTTCATGCGATGTTGTGAGCCAATGTTGAGAGCCACTGAACAAAACAAAGACAAACTCAGCATCTTCAGCACTTATTCACTCATTTCTATTGTTTCGACTGTATCATGGTACACTGGCTGATGTTTGCAGATGTTGCCCCACTCGCACTTCCTGAAACCTCAAACTGAAGGTATCTCCCAGAATACATTTTTTTTGTCTTTTTTTTTTTTTGCTTGTGTCATTTTGTAAATGTTTATATGTACATTTGTACATACAGAAAACTATATGAAACTGTTTTAAGATGTGAAAAATCTTTAGTGAAATAAAAATGTGATGTAATCCAAAAAGAAGAAAAAGATCTGTTTTTTATCATAACTTATTTTGGATCTTGATAACCCGCTGAGATCATCGAGATTTGGATGGATGACACAATATTTTGGCAGAGCCATCTATCCTCTGTCCGTCTCCACATTTCCACCCCCATGTCTTTCCCAGCCTCTCGTCTCTGCCCTCTCCTGCTTTCATCTCCTCTGATACAACATACCCGGGCTTAGATTTCAGACTCAAAACCAAACATGGACTAAGAGGGGGACAAAAAAACACCCAAGAACCCAGAGAGAGGGAGGCCCACAAGCGAACTGACAGCTGGGTGTGAAAGTGTCACTCTCACCTCCTTGCTCATACTCTTTCACTCTTTTTTTGCCCTGTTTTTGCCCTTTCTTTTTCTTCTCTGAACATCACCTTTTGAGGAAAAGCTGAACATCCGTCCACACAGCTGTATGTTGGAATGAGGAGAAAACAAACCTCAGAGCTGACTGAAAACTGTCAAAACTCACCGTTCCTTGTAAAACCGCACAACATACACACTCAAAATCAGAACATTAGAACTGAGCTGTTTGCTTTTCCGTGATAACGTCATAGCTTAAATTCAATGCAGATGATCACAGAGTCTCAGGTATCTTGTGCAATGCTGCACCCACAAATGTGTACAGTAGGATAAAGCAGGACATTATTCAACTGTGCCTGATGGGATGGATTAAATATGGTAGTCTCCACCGCTTTGATGTCTCGGTTCAACATTATGTCAGGCATTATGTGAAAAAGTAAATGTATGCTTTATAATACAAAAAATGTTCCTTTAGCTGTGCAAATACCATAAACCAAAAGTGAGCTTTCAGATTAGTTCGAGGACAAGCTTTTACAAACATGGCATAAAACTGTAGAAACATCATTTTAAGGTTTTATTCCAGTGCAGTAAATCTGAGTATCGCAGTAAAGTCAATGAAAATTCTACTAAAATATACAATACTTGAAGTTTAAAATTGTGATTTACTACATATGACAAGAAGTTTTTGAAATATAAATCATTTGGGCACTTAATTACATTTACATGTACAACTACTCATTAACACATTTAGGCAAGGTGACATGCTAAAGTTCAAACTGAGCATCAGGTCTGAGTATTTCACAAACTGCTGATCTACTGGGATTTTCCCACATAAGGTTCACAGACAAAGGTCCAAAAATTAAAAAAAAAACAAAAACCCATTGAACAGCAGCACAAGAGGTCAGAGAAGAATGGACAGACAGGAAGGCAACAGTAACACAAATAATCACTTGTTACACCCAATATGCAGAAGAGCATCTCTAATTGCACAACACATCAAGTCTTGAAGCAGATGGGCTACAGCAGCAGAAGACCGCACAGGGTGCCACTCCTGTCAGCTAAGAACAGGAAACTGAGGCTAAACTTTGCACATTCTCACCAGAATAGGATGACAAAAGACTGGAAAAATATTGCCGGGGCCGATGTGTCTCAATTTCTGCTACAACATTTTGGTAGTAGAGTCAGAATGTGGCATAAACAAGACGAAAGCATGGATTAATCCCACCTCGTATCACTGATTCAGGGTGCTGGTGGAGGTGTAATGATGTGAGGGGTATTTCTTGGCATATTTTGGGCTCCCTAGAGCTTTCCAGAGTATCACTGCTGATCACATCCATTCCTTTGGGACCACGGTGTGCCCATCTTCTGATGGCTGCTTCCAGCAGAACAATGCACCATGTTAGAAAGCTGAAATGATCTAACACTGGTTTCTTGACCATGACAGTGAGCTCACTGCATTCAAATGGCCTCCACAGTTAAGCCAATAAACGACCTCTGGGATGTGGTGGAACAGGGCATTCACATCATGGATGTGTTGCCAACAAATATGGAGCATTGTGGGATGCTATCATGCCAAAGTGGAGCAAATTTCCAGGATCTTGTTGAATCTGTGCCATGAAGAATTTTGCAGCTCTGAATAGAAAAGAGGCAATTTTTTACCAAAGTGACCAGTGAGTGTATTTTACCATCTTTCTTGTCCAAAACTTTAGCTCTTATTTTATGCTTTATCTAATACAAAAGGTCATTAACTTTCACTTAATAAAGGCAGACACGTAAACAGCTTCACTGGCACAACACTCGAAGGAGTCTGAACAGCTCCGATAAAAAACACTGTCACAAAAAGAAAAGGGATTGCAATTTAATAACAAAAAGATCATCCATAAATCAGAAAAAGAAAATTCTTCTAAATCAATATAGCAATGACCTTCAAGTGAAGAAAAATGTGTGAAAAGACTAAATGTCAAACAGATGCAAAGCTAACACTAAAAGCTAAAGACTAAAGAAGAAGGGTGAAAATTATACACCAGAGACTGCTGAGAAAGGTCAAGTTTTGAAATGTCTAGAGTGACAAAGCAGCTCGGCTCTGACAGCTGTACACAGGAGGGAGCAGTCAGGTGACGATGGGGGAGTGGGCGAGGCGGGGTGGTTGGGCAAGAAGGGTCAAAGAAAAGTTAATGAGCAAACTTTAGATGATTCGTATTAAATTTACCCAGAGAGACGAACAATAAGTGAAAGTTTTAATGCACAACTTTTAAATATGAATCTTAATTCTTGGATGTAATACCCATGAAATGACACCCAGCACGCTGACTAGTTGAAAAATGATGCATATGAGATAAAATTAATCAAATAACACTGGTGCACCCCAGTGGAGTGCATAATTAATTTTTCAGTTTAAACAGTGAAATCATCTCATTTTGAAAGTATAAAATCCAGCATATTTGCCTGGATCCACACACTGACTGTTCTGTGTGATATCAAGCTACAAGCATGTGATATGGGATTGGAACAATGATGTAATGATGAGACGCTTTTTTTCTCCTCCTTCTTCTTATCATAGGCTAATAGTTGGGTTTTCTTTTTTGACTGTGCTACTGGAATACAGGGTGAAAAACAAATGTGTGATTCACAGAAAGGAGAAACTGGAAAGAAAGACTGATGCATTATGTGAAGCAGTGGAAAAGCTTGCCTTATTTTCCTATTCTGTGCATCAGCCTAGTGTTATACTTCCACAAGGTGAGATATAACAAAAAATGAAAACATCAAATTGCTCCCAGTGTGATCTTTTCATTTGGAGAACCCGTATCTTCAGCGTCCCTTTAATAACTACTGTACGAATGCTTGATGATTTTTCTGGGATGTTGAAAGCTTGTAAAAGTGGGTGCACGATTTGTACTGTTCCAGTTATAATGTTCTGTTTATGGTGTGAAACCTGACATCTAATACAGCTTTTTAAAGAGTCTTGTCATGGTTTCCAGACCCAAAGAGGACAAACATCTAAGATTTCCTAATCTTGAGTTTAATACTGTCTGATAATAATCTTAGTGTCTGTAATAGGCTCAAATATCTTGGACATCTTATTACAGATCAAATGACGGGTATTGATATTGCACAAGAAAAACCCCCACTTATCAAATTTAAGACTTTAATAAACCACAATTATCAGCTGTCGAGACAATTTTCACATTAAAGACTTTTTATTTATTTATTTTTTTGTGCTTATTTTACTTGACCTTTGTTTTTACTTTGTGACTTTGCGGGTCAACATGCTGGAAGCAGCCATCAGAAGATGGGTTCACTGTAGTCATGAAGGGATGGAGATGCTCAGCAATAATACTCACGTAGCTGCGGTGCTTAAACAAAGCTCAGATGTTAGTAAGGGTGTTCTGGCAAAGAAATGTCTCCACACCATTACACCAGCAGCAGCAGCATGAACCAATGATATAAGGCTGGCAGGATCCATGCTTGCAAGCTGTTGACGCCAGATTCTGACCCTATCCTCTGGAAATTGCAGCAGAAATCAAAACTCATCAGAGCAGACAACATTTTCCAATCGTCTGTTGCCCAATTTTGGTGAACCCATGTGAACTGTACTCTCTGTTGTCTGTTCTTAGGTGTGGCACCTGGTGTAGACTTCTGCTGCTGAAGCTTATACGCTTGAAAGTTTGACGTTTGTGTATTTAGAGATTTAGACCTGCTTTTCTGCTCTCCTATCAGCTTCTCCGTAAACCCTACTGATGGTTGTGTGGTCAAATTCTAGCAGATCAGACAAGTCACCTACAAAAGTTTTATGTTCAAAAACTTGAACATCACACTTAAATCATCCGCCCCTCCCATTCTGATGCTCACTTTGAACTTCCGCAGGTCTTGGCCGTGTCTACATGCATTCATCCAAAGCCAATTACAGACCCACAGAAGACATCCATCCCATCCATTCGCTTCCGCTTGTCCTTTTCAGGGTCGCGGGGGGCGCTGGAGCCTATCCCAACTGTCATAGGGCGAGAGGCGGGGTACACCCTGGACAGGTCGCCAGTCTGTCGCAGGGCTAACACACAGGGACAGACAACCATTCGCACTCACATTCATTCGCACATTCACACCTAGTGACAATTTGGATTATCCAATTAACCTATCCCCACAAGCTGCATGTCTTTGGACGGTGGGAGGAACCCGGAGTACCCGGAGAGAACCCACGCAAACACGGGGAGAACATGCAAACTCCACACAGAAAGACCCCGGGCTGATGGTGGAATTGAACTCAGGACCTTCTTGCTGTGCGGCAACAGTGCTAACCACCGTGCTGCCCCCACAGAAGACATATAAAGTTAAATGCGTGTGTAAAATCGGAGCCTTCCGGGTCGGGAAATACTGAATGTTTTCATGCTCGCTGACTGCTGAAAAGCTTTGAATAAACTGTACGAGTGCCATGAGCTTTCCCACATCCGTGTCCCTCTGGCAGTCACTCGTAAAATTCTTGCAACGTAATTACGTCCAGCGCTACGTTCCTTATCGTTTCAGCACCCTATTGGACCAGCCCTTTGAGCCTATAGCCAATCAGAGGACAGGAACCAGGAGGGCACTGATTGCAAATACGGAAATACAGTGAGAGCATCCGCGTCGTTATATTTACCTTTCATCTCAGGCAGTTTAAGAGTTTGTGATTAAAAGGAGACTGTGCAC